ATCATCATCCTCATCATCATCATCCTCACCGTCTCTCCAGAACTTCTCGGCCGTTGGAGTCGGAGTAGAAGTATCCAGCTGAGCTGATGTTGCTGTCGAACCGAGTGATTACCTCCTTCCCGAAACCATCACTGCACAACCGCAGAGCAGGAAACACAGTTAAACACAGTTAAACACAGTTTAGCACAAACACAGTCAAACACAGTTAAACACAAACACAGTTAAACACAGTTAAACACAGTTAAACACAAACACAGTTAAACACAGTTAAACACAGTTAAACACAAACAGTCAAAACACAGTTAAAACAAATACAAACACATTTAAAAAGTCAAAACACAGTTAAACACAGAGTTAAAAACAGTAAAAATGGTCAAAACACAGTTAAACAATTAAAACACAGTTAAGCACAAACACAGTTAACCAGGGTGGGGGGGGGGTGGGTTGTGTAGGCTACAGAAGCATCGTTCTGATGATCTGACGGCAATGATTTTATTTCCTGAAAAAAACGTTTATCTTGTTTTCTGCTTTTCTTTTTTTCCACAATTAACACATTAAGATTTTCACACGCTTCACTAAACTCCACGTGTTTTTATGTTCTGAGTGTAAATAAGTTACTCATCCTCTACAGACTCACTACTGCACACTTTAACACAGTTACTGTTCATTAGTGCTGAAAATAAACAAAATCCAAAACTTGCTTCTGCACAGTTCACACTTTATTCACTAGTTTATTCTCTGATGTAAATCAGTAAGTGTGCGTTAAACTGTGCAGTGAGTCTCTGCAGAGGACATTTCAACTTATTAACACTCAGAAAATCAACACCAAACTTTTGCGCAGGGCTTTATCTTTATGGATGTCAAACCCCTGAAGTTGCTATGGCGACCGTGTTTATACAGCTGTAGCGGGTCAGCGGTGCGGTCGGAGGTCAGAGGTCAGACTGTGGACTGTGTTACGGTATAAACAGGTATTTACTCCACAGGTATGGGGCCGACCGTCCACTCCAGCTCCAGCTCTCTGCTGCTTTCATACAGACGGACCACCTGAGAGACCCACGGGCTGAACTGCTGCCTCACCTCCTGGACCACCGAGTTCTGACACACACACACACACACACACACACACACACACACACACACAGAGGAGAGTGTTTATGAGCCGACATGACTACTTAGTCATATAAAATGACTGAATCGAATGTCTTTGTTTCGTTTTCTAAGTAAAAAAATAAATAAATAACAAATCCAAATAACAATTTTTATTTATTTGCGTAATTATGGGGAAAAAATGAAGTATAAAATATATGATGCATCATAAACTGTTTTCTCCAGGATGTTAAAGCAGCACTGTTTGGGGATTTGGAGACCTCTCTGGTGGAAAAGTGGAATTGCATGCAATGTGTAAATGATTATTTTGTGACGTCGGTTGAGCTTCGGACCCCCAAAAGCAAATAAATCTGACCTTTGCGAGGCTGAAAGAGAATTCAGAGAGAACTCAGTCTAAACTTGGTGAAGGACTGTCATCACAGTGTGATGTTGATTCTGAGGTCATTTGAGGCCGAAACATTGAGCCGGACCTCCTTTTAGAGTCTGTGTGATGTTAATACATAAAGACGTACGACGTGGTGTGAAAAACTCGACGCCTCCTAAGTTTAAATGATTATTTCAGACTTTACAGGCGACTCTCAGCAGCAGCTCAGCATATTTTAGAGTGTTTTTATTCTCCTCACTCAGTAACGACACTTCTTTCAGTTTTAACAACAAAAATAATAATAAATAATCTTTATTTATAGAGCTCTTTTCATTTTGGTGGCAGCTTAAAGTGCTTTACATTCAGGTGATAAATCTGATCACAGATCAGATTTAATTTTAATGCTTTTTAATGAGTTTTACTGAAGCTCTGAGTTAAAGAGCTGCGTTTTCAGGTGTTTATTAAAAGTGAGCTCTGAGCTCGACTGTCTAATAAAAGCTGAACTGAGCTCCACAGTTTAGAAGCAGAATAACTGAGAGTCTCTCCACGTTTTCTGTGTTTTACTGAAGGAGTTCAGAAGGTCAGAATCTGCAGATCTGAGATCATAAACAGACATTCAGGAGCTTTAAGGTCATTTAGAGCTTTAAAAACCAGCAGCAGAGCTTTAAACTCTCTCTAACAGACCCAGGCGGTCAGTGCAGTGTGTAACGGGGGGATATGAGCTCTCTGTGTTGGTGCTGTGAGGATCCGTGCTGCTGCATTCTGTATGAGTTCTAGAGGATGGACTGTCTGGGGTGCTCAAACATTTGCACACTATGCACATTATGCACGGCCACACTGTTTAAACAGGCTTTAAGATTTTTGTAAACTGTGGGCTCAAATTTAAACCTAAACTAAACATTAGTGAATTTTAAGAGCTGCACATTTCCACACATTTCTGCATATTTTCATCTGTTTTAACATCTTTTATTTTACTGTTTTCAGTTGTTTTGTTATTATTAGCCTTTTTACTCATTCATTCTTTCATCTTGTGTTAGAAATGTGCTATAATAAATAATAAACTGCCCAAGCTTTTTGCACAGGACTGTACTGCAAAGTTCAGGCCATTCACAGATTCCTCAAAAGACACAAAAACAGCTAAAGGTCAGCGGGACTGGAATAAAGACGCTTGTTTATCCTCAAAGTCTCTGTACTGCAGCGTAACTGAGCTGATATTGTCTCTGGTTTATGTACACCTGGATGATTAACACACCTGAGCCTAGAGCTGGGCGATATGGCCAAAAACGTTATCACGATAAACAAAACTCATATCGTTCGATATCGATACGTATCGCGATAAATGTCAAATCATGATTTCGTTCACGTTTGAAGGCTGATTTTGCTCCTGGGAGGTTAACTGTGGTTTTAAACTATCACTTATGGTCCGATCAGGACAAACACTCGGCAAACAGTGGAACATTTCACTAATCTGTCTTGGGACAGTGGGAGAAAGTTTCTGAGCTGTTTTTATTAGCTGGAAAAGCACAGCTGCAATTTTTGTAATAGTCATGTAGTTACAAACGCTAAACAAGTGGCCAAAAACAGAGCTAAACTCTTTAGTTTCTCAACAACGTCCACTCGGTTCGGTCGTCACTGCGGTCACTCCTACCACATCCATGTCAGAGCAGATCACAGTATTCAGACACCAGCTAGACGGCTGGGTTTCTCTATGCTATCGCAGTAGTTTGAGGGGTGAACCGCAGTGTATCTGACGCTCGCTGTGTAAAAGCATTATCTGCAGTGTGAATCTCTCTCACCAGACAAACTGAGTCCTCCTTTTAGGTACGTTTAAACTGAAAGCGGTGATTTTGCGTCTTGTTTGATCTACAGTATCATCAATTCACCGTGTTTTGCCGGAGCGCCGCTTCAAGTTAGCCAGCAGCTAAAAACAGCTAGCCTGGAAAGACAGCGCTCTCCCGCTCTCCAACGCCTCACAGCTTCCTCAGTTTACTCTCGAACATGAACCACTTCTTTCTTTCACTTTCGCTGCTCGAGAATGCACTAATACTAAAATATGGCGGTTTGGCTGTAACACGGCGCTGCAGACGTGATTTAACACCGCTGAAGCTGTTAGGATGTTAGTAAAGAGGTGAGTTCACTGTAGGTCAGTACAGTTACACCACTGACCTCGTCACTCACACTCGGCCACAGGAGAACAGATCGCCGGTCGCTCCACTCAAACAGGGACTGTATAACTCCGCGTTTCAGCTGTTGCTAAAGTATATTTGGTGACCCTTTTTTACTCGTGGCCCCTCCCTCTCTAATCAAGTCGAAAAATTCTGAAGTGCGCCCTCTCCTGGCGACAGCAGAGTAGTGTCGCTTTCCTTGCAGTAGAAAACGCCACCAGGGCTTTCGCTAAAACGTGGAAGTGTGAGAGTGGTGTATTATATCGAACATTTATCGAACCTGGCGTATCACTCTATCGAGGAAAAGTTATATCGCGATAATTATCGTTATCGTTTTATCGCCCAGCCCTACCTGAGCCCTTTCACTGCGTATTTGAATAATTAAGAGACTTTAATTGTGTCACCTGCAGGGTGGAAATATCAGGCTTCTTGCTGATGGTTATCGGGGTGGAGGAGTTCGGTCTGAAGATGTACGCCCCTGACGTCTGGCTGCTCTCGGCGTTTCCAACACTGGCGTTGTACCTGTGAAGGACCGTACATGTAGTTTTATTAATATTAGTACTTTATTTCATTATTTATTATTAGACAATGTGAGCTTTTCACTTTTCTCCTTTACAGAGTTCACAGCTCGTCTTTCACACGTTATACAGCACATCCTGTGACCTCACGACACAATACATCTTAAACACTTCACAAGCCGACAAGACCAAAACACTTAAGTGTACAATTAAAGCGCTGCGAACACAGAGGCGCGTTAAGCTGCTCTTCCTCCACACAAGTTTAGATGAAATCTATAAAAACAGCGTAACAACATAACAGCTCCCTCCCAATGTCGTCCCCCGAGAACTCTGTGGTCGTAAGTAACCTGACTGATTAGTAAGGTGCCATTTAAAGATCTTGACACAACACGATATAAACATTTTTCTCTCTACTGGGTTCATTTTGCTCTTTTCAGCACACTGTATGTACAAAGTATGTCCTGTTTATTACACCGGATTCCCACCAATCACAGGGCTGGTTCGTCCCGCCTACACAGCTTCAACTAAACTGTGCTCAGTCAAGTGAAAGACAGCCATCACTCAAAGGCTAGCCACCAGTGAAAGTTCCCTGGATGCAGATCCAGCGGGAAAGCAAATGAGACCCTTTTTTAGGGTTCTCTGTATAAAAGGTTCTCCATATAAAGCTGGATGTTGTGAACAGTGAGTGGACACAGCGGGTCCGTTTATGCAGAACCGTTTCACACATTTCTCCGATGCTGTGTTTATACAGCTTCAGTGCTGTATCAGCCGGGAATGCTGGACTGTCAATCATGGCTCATCAGAATATTAGGCAACGCCCCAGGTCTGATCAGTGCTTTATAGCCATGTTTTATTATACATTTATAATATATAAACATTTCACAGTGTTCCTCGAGACTTAGTGGCTACAAACTTTGATAGTTAGTAATATTATCTGATAAATTCTTACATATTTAATGTGTTTATAGCAAAATTGTATATTTATATTTTAACATTATACTCTGATAGTCATAGTTAAGCAGGGCTTTACTGACTGATGTGACGGTCGGTTGTGAACGGTCACAAACATTATGAACTCAGTCAGATAATATATTAATATACACCTCTTATTTTTCTCATTTCTCCTCACAAACAAAACATACTTTGTGTAATAAGGTTAATCTGGAGCTAAAGATTAAATTAGGAAACATTTGACATGTTTTATATCAATATCAGCTGATATAATCAGGTGTCCTAAAGGTTCTATTTCACTTGTATTTTTATGCGCATTTTGCATAGTTTTATGTAAATAAAGTTCACAGCGCGATCAGCAGTTTATATAGTATATATGTGTGACATCTCGGCCCTCACAAGGCGACGCATTTCACACTTTAAATACAGCTCCGACACAAAGCGTGAAAACTATGTTCAGAGTGTCTAGAACGTGCCTCAGTTCTGCTGAGGTAGTTAGCATACAAAGAACAAATAAAACACATCGTTAATACAATCAGTACAAAACTACCACTCAGACAAAACAAACAAACAAAATGCTTCTATACAGAACCATGAGCACTCAAAGAACCCTTTGCATGATTAAAGGGTTCTTTGCATCGTGAAAGCGTTCCTCAGATTGATGGAGAATGTGCTATCCCTTTTTGAAAAGGGATCTATATAGAACCAAATGTGGTGCTATACAGAACCATACACAGCACATCCGCCATCAGTCCGAAGAACCATGCAAAGAACCGTTTTATCATGCAAAGGGTTCCTTGAGTGTTCATGGTTCTATATAGAATCATCTTTACTGAAGAACCCTTAAAGAACCATCTTTTTTAAGGGCGTAGTCGTGTAACGTCTGTATGGTGCACGTTTGAGACGCACCAGTAGAAGTTCTGCGTGAGCTGGATGCTCTGCTGAGTTTCCAGGTTGGTCAGTCCACTCAGGAGGCCAGTATTAGGGTCAAAGGTCACCTTCAGGTACTAAAATAAGAGATCAAACAAGTCAAACAAGGCTCTACATCCCATATCATCACACCATGGTAACAAAACACTGATTAAGAGAACGTTCCGCTGGAGAACGTAAGACTGAGCCACAAAACAAAAACAACCTAAATCCACATCTCAGAACCAGCGATTCAGGTCTGAGTCACGGTGCCGCTCTGACCTTGTTCTCCATGGAGACGGGAGCGCGGCGCTCAGGTTCAGCGGGAGCTCCAGCAGCTTTCAGCAGAGTGATGGAGTACGTACTGAACCCGAGGGGCAGAGCCTGAACCTGGAACACCAGCTCATACTTAGCATAACCCCGCCCCCTTCGCACATACTGAGTGGGCTTAGAGACAGGGAGAACCTGAGAGAGAGAGAGAGAGAGAGAGAGAGAGAGAGAGAGAGAGAGAGAGAGAGAGAGGTTAATCAATATATTCTGTATTACAGAATGTAAATTATGATCAGATGTGCTGAATCACTGATTGATCATTCAGACTGAATCGCTCACCTGACTGTCCACCACGTTCCCACTTGAGTCCGTGACGTTGTATGAAGTGCCGTTGACGGGCAGGTGGACCGACCAATTTACCGGACGAGCAAGAGGATTATACACATTCATAGAGAACTGAGAGAGAGAGAGAGAGAGAGAGAGAAAGAGAGAGAGAGAGAGAGAGAGAGAGAGAGAGAGAGAGAGAGACAGACAGACAGACAGAGAGTGAGAGGAGAGAGACAGACAGAGAGTGAGAGAGAGAGAGAGATCAAAGTGATACAGTGAGGTTGATATTAATTAACTGGGTCTTAAATTGTGCAATAACCCTTTGATCTCCTCCGTATGTCCACATCCTGCACTATTAGCAAAAAAAGGTTCTAGAACTGTAATAATAAAATCATTTTGGGTGCTATATAGAACCATTTTATAGGAATCTTTAAGAAACCATACACAACAGGTTCCCCATTACAGAGAACAATAAAAACCATGCGTGGAACCATAGAGCCTGTTACTAGAGTTCTAGATATAAATGAATATACGAGCACTTCATTAGGAACTCTACACTAATTCTGGGTCGGGCCTCCTTTGGGTCTCAGAACAGCCTCAGTTCTTCATAGTGTGGATTCCACCAAATGTTGGAAACATTCCGTTGAGGTTCTGGTCCGTGTTGACCCGACTGTATCATGCAGTTCCTGCAGATGTTTTAGCTGCAGTTTCATTAGCCATTAGAAGATGTTAACTGTGGCCATGAAAGGACGAACATGGTCAGCAACACTAAAACAGGCTGTGGAACTCAAGCGATGATTGACTGATAGAAAACGTTGAGAAAACACCCCCCACCCTATTACACTGATGTGAACAGTACCTGAAGCTGCTGCCTGTATCTGCAGGGCTCGATACTCTATGCTGCCGCCACACGACTGGCTGATTAGATAACAGCATGAATGAGCAGGTGTTCCTAATAAAGTGCAGTGGGCGCTCGTACGTACCATCTTACTGCCCTCGGTGAGTGGACACACGCTGATGTTCAGATTCTCACAGAAAACCCTCGGAACCTCAGACCCACTGAGAACGGACAGAGAGTTACTGACCAACACCTACAGAGAGAGAGAGAGAGAGAGAGAGAGAGAGAGGGAGAGAGGGGGAGAGAGAGAGAGAGAGAGAGAGAGAGAGGGGGAGAGAGAGAGAGAGAGAGAGAGAGAGAGAGAGAGAGGGGGAGAGAGAGAGAGAGAGAGAGAGAGAGAGAGAGAGAGAGAGAGAGAGAGACAGAGAGAGGGAGAGAGAGGGAGAGACAGAGAGAGAGATTTGAAGTATTATTAGTTACTATAATGCTAAATGTAGTTACTGTAACATTGGCAATAGTAACTGAAATGCTGCAGTTAGCATAACATTAGCTATAGTTAGTGTATCGCTGGTGTAGTTACTGTAACACTAGCTGCGCTAGCTGCACTTTAATGCTAGTGGTTGTTACTGTAACACTCGCAGTAGTAACTGTAACACTACATGTAGTTACTGTAACGCTAGCTGTAGTAACTGTAACACTACATGTAGTTACTGTAACGCTAGCTGTAGTAACTGTAACACTACATGTAGTTACTGTAACGCTAGCTGTAGTAACTGTAACACTACATGTAGTTACTGTAACGCTAGCTGTAGTAACTGTAACACTACATGTAGTTACTGTAACACTCGCTGTAGTAACTGTAACACTACATGTAGTTACTGTAACGCTAGCTGTAGTAACTATAAGCTGGTTGGCTGAACGTGATAACTGCCGTACCTGACAGTGAGCCCAGCCGTCCGCCAGTCTCTTGGCGTAGTCATCGGCGACGTGCTGCTTCTCGGTTCCAGAAACTGCATCGTGGTGCTGAGCTACAGCCATGGCTCGCTCTGATTGGTCAGAAAGCATGTCAATCACAGTGCAGCAGGTAACCACAGCCAATAGAACAACTCGTTCGGCGGTGGAAATGAACTTACTCATGGTGTCACTGTCTCCTTTCCCGAAAGGGCCGGTCCTGGACTTGGGTCCCCCCAGAACCTCCAGCTGGTTGCAGGTCTGAGAGGAGAGCAGGTGAGTAGGTGAGCAGGTGAGCGCAGGTGTTGTGATGTAAACAGTTTCAGCTGTGAGGTGATGAAGCTAACGAGGCAGTGCTTTTACCTGCAGTAAGCTGTTACTCAGTCTCTCGTAACGTTTCAGCGCCGGGCGGCTGGTGAAGTAACCGGTCCAGAAATCGTGAGAACCGTCAGCGTACGGGAAGAAATCATCTGATTTTAATGGCCTGAGAGAGAGAGAATAAAATAAACAACAACAACAACAACAAGATTTATAAAGTACTTTTCTGAAGATAATCATCAACTGTAAAGATCAGAGCACATGAAGAAGCTCATTAACACAAGAGGAACAAAAACAAAACAAGGCCGATAAACAACACAGTGTATTTACACACACAGTGCACAGTGGGCAAAGTTGGTACAGAGGGTGCAGTGGGCAGAGAGGGTGCAGTGGGCAGAGAGGGTGCAGCGGGCACAGTTGTTGCAGGGACAACAGAGACTACAGTGGGTACAGCAGGCATAACAGACACAGAGCACAGTGGCAGAGTGGGTACAATGGGTACAGCGGGTGCAGTGAGCACAGAAGGTACACTGGTCCAGTGGGCACAGGGGGCACACGGTGCAACTCACCAGGTCTGATTGGCCAGGTTGAGCTCCTGCAGGTAACAGGAAGGTGTGGAGTAGAGGACGTTCACCTGGCTGCCGTTAGCCTGCCGAGCGTTAACGTAGTGGATTAGCTTATCCATGTTTTTGTACCATGGATTGGCGTTCTCATACTGGAAGTCTGACCCCATCGTCATGATGATGTGGTTGGTCTTATAGAGCGTAGCCTGGAGGAGAACACACACACACACACACACACACACACACACACACACACACAGAGCAGTGACTTATCAGAACTACACTCACACCAGCGCACTTTTACTGCCTCGTTAGTTTATGGAATCATGCACTGGATTATTAATCTGGCTTTATATGAGTTTTATTGCAGGAAAAACCAAACTGTACAGATGTTGCAGCATCCAAACCATACAAAGACACTAATATGACAGATCATGACAAACACATCGACTGTCCAGAGGAGCGCAAACCCTAAAACTTTAAATGAGACCTATTAAGCTCGTTTTCACTGCTCATAATTTTGTTTTTGTTCTACTGGAACAGATTTACAGCTTCAACGTTCCAAAATCACACTATTTTCCTCAGACTGTTCATCTCTATTCACCCTCTGTCTGAAACGCTCTGTTAGAGCTCCTGTGTCTTTAAGCCCCGCCTCCCAATGAGCTCAGCATGGTCTGACTGGTCAGCTCGCCCGTTCTGTTCTGATCGGTCAGTCTCCAGAGTGGTTCCCCCTCCAGGTTCCGCCCCCCCATGTTCCGCCCCTGTCCTGCAGTCTGCAGACAGACCCTTCTCTCCTGAGCAGCTGTAACTGTTTCTCCAGCGGCGCCGGTTCTGCCGGATCAGTTCGATCCAGAGTGGATCCTGAAAGACCGGTCAGCGTCTCTCCACACACTACAACACTGAACACACTCTTCCTCCTCCAGTAGCCGCTGTGCGCTGTGTGAAAGGGCGGAGCTCGCCGGTAGGCGGGCAGTAAGGACTGTGTTATGAGATGATGTCATCCTGTAACAAAGGAAAAGGACTGGAATTCCAACGAGGCGTTTCAGACAGCTGAGAAAAGTGGGTTCTGTGGGAGAGAGTTTCTCCCTCTGGAGGGAACGCTGAGCTTTGGGACTCTGCAGAACGTTTACATGCAGAAAAAGATAAAACACACTAAAGGAAATGGATGAACTGGAGAAGCTTAATAGGCCCCCTTTAATAAATACATATAAACAAATGTAAATGTGATAACTTCTTTATTTCTGACATGCTGGAAACACGCACTGACCTGAGCCTTTGAAATGCTGATGAACTTGCCAACCAGCTCGTCCACGTTATAGTCCTCCAGCGCTGGGTCGTCCTGGACTGGATCATCAGAGCAGGACTGATCCCAACAGAACCCCGAAGGAGGGTTATAGCCATTCGGCAGAACGCCTGCACATCACACAACCACCACAGGAGGGCGTTAAAGAGAATAGTCTCCAATAATAACCAACAGAAAATAACATTACCCTGCACTCCACACAATCACCACAGGAGGGCACTAAAGACAACACACCAATGATAACCCACAAAAAATAAACCTGCACACCACAGGAGGGCGCTAAAGATAATAATCTCCAGTAATAATAAATTCTGTTTGTTGATGATAATGTTGATGATGATGATGGTGATGAAGGTGATGGTGGTGATGAAGGTGATGGTGGTGGTGTGTGTACCGGTGAAGAGGTCAGCTGCCGGGGGGTTTAGACTGGCGCTTGCTCTCCACACCATCTCCATCTCTTTGGTCTTCATCCGGCGCTCCTTATCCTGATAGTCCAGCCGGCCGAAGAAGAACCCGTCATAACCCATCTAGAACCACACAAACCAGCACGTTTACCAGCCTGACGGCTTCTTAAAGTACCTGCTGCTTCACTTAAGGTGGAACAGGAAATTCTCTCTCTCTCTCTCTCTCTGCTGTATCAGAGCTGTGTAAGAGCAGCTGAACTGGTTTGGTGAGTTTTTAACAGTCAGACACTCTAAATGTAGGTATTGTGATATAAACTGAGTCTGTTCTACAGTTTCTCATTAGGCTGAATGAATAGCCGACTCTAAATGTAGGTATTGTGATATGGACGGAGTTCAGGTTCAGGTGAGAGGTACCTGGGCGAAGATGGAGGCGTGTTCGCGGGCGTGTCCAAACGGGTCGATGTGCCAGGCGACCCTCGGTCGTCCACATTCACCGAACGTATCGTTTAGGAAACGCAGGCCAAGAGTCATCTGATCAATAACGGAGCTGTAATGAGTGGAAGCTTCATCACTCATACACCATCCGCCATTAACGAACTCTAAACGACCTGCGGGGGGGGGAGAGAGAGAGAGAGAGAGAGAGAGAGAGAGAGAGAGAGAGAGAGAAGAGAGAGAGAGAGAGAGAGAGAAAGAGAGTGGGGCGGAATAATGACACTGTCAGCTGATCTGAAGCTGTTTAACCAGAACTTCCACAATAAAAACTCGCTGAGTTTAAACTCCATCATACGCCTGACACACACTCACACTGACAACACTCAGCACTGACAACGGGAAATAAGACAGAGCAATAATACACTGATGATTATTATAAAGTACATCATTAAATAATGATCAACATGTTCTAATCGAAGTCATTCGATTATCAAATGCATAATCCTACATTTCCTATTCAGTAATAAATTCATCTCATACAAATTTTTCATTTATTCAATATCTATTATGAATTATTCAGTATCGACTATGAATTATTCAATATTTACTATAAATTATGGAGTATCTATTATGAATTATTCAGTATCTATTATGAATTATTCAGTATCTACTATAAATTATTCAGTATCTATTATGAATTATTCAGTATCTACTATGAATTATTCAGTATCTACTATGAATTATTCAGTATCTACTATAAATTATTCAGTATCTATTATAAATTATTCAGTATCTACTATAAATGATTCAGTATCGACTATTAATTACTCAGTATCTAGTTTAAAATCTCATTCTCTCTGTGTTAGCGTTAGTGTTAGCGTGCTGACCCTCCTGTACGAGCTGTGTGACGATGTTCCGAGTGCTCTGGCTCTGCTGACTCCACCAGCGGTAGAAGAACGCCGTCTCCACGTAGATGAACCTGCGAGCCGGATCCTTCTGCAGCTCCGCCACCACCGAGTCCAGGATGTACTGCACCCCCGCGTGCTGGATATAATTACGGCCTGCAGCACAACCACACGCTGTTAGCCTGCTAGCTAAGCTAACCAACATCTGGTTCCAGGTTTATTGTTTTTGGTTCCTGCTCAACACTAATACCAGCGGAACCTAACGGTGCTCAGGGTTCTCCTCTTTGCCAACACTCACAGCTAAAAACGATTAACAACTTATTCACTGGAGATAAAGTCACTCCATCACCAGTGCGATCCCCGGAGCCGAAGCTGGGCCGCTGTGCTCGTGTGCTGGCTGACATTTTTAGAATTAGCATTTTGTAAAGAGTTGCTAACAAGATAAAGGCTAATTAGGATGCTAAGATGAAGCTATCAGCATTTACGCTTCCCTCCACAGACCTAACGTTAGTGTTTCTGCCCAAATCTAAACTCCCGTTTGATTCTGTGAATCATTCTGTAGAAACGTGGAAAAGGGCACCACATCATTTCACGTCTGCACTGTTAGTGCTAAGCTAAGCTGGCTAGTAAGAAAGAAAGCTGTGCATCAGTTTTACACTCAAGAGAAAAACAGTCTTCGGTTCAGTTGATGCTGCATGTTAATTCGTGTCAGCTAATACTTTACGCTACCTGGAAAGAAAGATCTCTAATCAGTAATTAGCCAAATTAGACAGTTTAGAGTGGTAAAAAATATTATTAGAATTTATTAATCAATGTATTATAGCAGTTCCAGGCAGGTACAAAATGAACTAGACCTAGAACCGTGTGTTCTGTTGGTTCCTGTTTGGGTTTCTGAAGGCACGGTGCGAGTTAGCCACATTAGCACAGCTACGTTCTGTAGCTGCAAGTTTCTGTCACCACTGAGCATGCTCCGCTCATTAGCATATTTTAATATACTGGATGATGATAGGCTCAAAGAATTTAATGTTTTTAAAGGAAAAATGTGAAATCCACCCTAAAAGGAAATCCCAGAGGAGTTAACTACTAAAATAACAAAATTACTAATAAATAATAAATTATGTATTTGTGTGTGTGTATGTATGTGTGTGTGTGTGTATGTATGTATATGTGTGTGTGCATGTATATGTGTATATATGTGTGTGTATATATGTGTGTGTGCATGTATGTGTGTGTGTGTATGTGTGTGTGTGTATGTGTGTGTATGTGCACAGCGATATACAAAGGCTCTCAGTCCCATAAATCCCATTCTGCTGAGTAATCAATGCTCCAGATTAATCAACAACTCTCATATACCTGTAGATCATAAACATCATATGATCTTCACAGACATCAGCCACTGACTCTGCGGTTCTGCTGTAAACAATAACGTTCTTTACATGCATGACTAACTTCCTCGCTCTGTGGCCACACAGGACGCTTGTGAAACACACACTGCACAGAGCACAACAGCGCAAAACTGAGGGGTGGATCTACTATTCAGTATTATAGAGAACAAAACTAACACAGCACCAGAACCAGAACCAGAACCAGAACACCGTCTGAGACTGAGACAGTCTGACTAGATCACATTTCAGATAATCACCTCAAACCTATTAAACCACCTGAACAATTCAGGATAATGAGCCTAAATATGTTGAACACCCTCAACAATTCAGCATAATTAGCATAAATATGCAAAACATCTCAATTCAGCATATTAGCTTAAATCTGTTAAACCAACCTGGACAATTTAGCATAATTAGCATAAATATGCAAAACATCTCAATTCAGCATATTAGCTTAAATCTGTTAAACCAACCTGGACAATTTAGCATAATTAGCCTAAATACTGCCTAATTATCTACAGTGTTGACTGAATGGTCTTCTGACGGCTGAGCTGAGCTGTTCTGTGTTTTGTAACTGTGTTGAGCTGTATAGCTGTGCTGTGTTATACTGTACTGTTCAGCTGGGTTGTGTGGTTCTGTGCAGCTGTGCAGCATTGTGCTGTGTTGCACTGTGCTGTGTTGCATTGTGCTGTGTTGCATTGTGTTATACTGTGCTGTGTTGTGTTGTGTTATACTGTGCTGTGTTGTGAGTCTGAGTTTTGTGGCTATATAGCTGTTATACTGTATTGTGCTGCTCAGCTGTGTTATGATGTGCTGTGCTGAGTGGCTGTGTTGTGTTGTGCTGTGTTGTGTTGTGTTGTGTCGTGTCATGCTCTGCTGTGCGGTACAGCAGTCACGAGTCTGTGCTGGACTTTTCTGTGTGTATGGAAACCAGAGGAATCAGATAAAACTCCAGCATTAAAAACAGGAAGTGCAGAAAGAGAAACTGAGACCGAGAACTGGAGGCGCATCAAGCGGTAATAAACCCCCTCATCATTAATCACTCGAGGCCGGTTCCTCAGGTTCCTCACCTCCGTAGAAGTACTGGTCCACCGTCTTCAGCCAGCCGACGTCGTCGTGCGTGTGAGGGACCAGATGGACGTTCAGCATGGACGGCTTCGTGGCTGGACATGACTGTAGTGAACACACGGACACGCGCACTGATTATCACAGAGCTGGAGCTGATTTTTCCAGTTCCACCTTAAACGGTGCAGCAGTCAAAACCCGGCGCCGGTCAGAGTTTCTCTCGGATCAGATCGGACAGTTTGTAATGGAGAGGAAGCAGAAAGTTACAGCAAGTTTATTCGGGCGCGCGCTCTCTCCGCACCCAGCACTGCGCGCGCGCTCACTCACCTTGTAGCCGCACTGGTCTCCCGCGCGCTGGGCAGTGTGTAAAGGTAAGGCGCGAGCCGCACTTGCTGTTACTGCAATCAGCAGCGCGAGCTCCCACAGCAGCCTGCACTCCGCCATCATGCACGACTAACACAGTCATATGACTGACCAGGGGGCGGGGCTTAAATAAACACACGTGACCCCGCCCCGCTGCTGAGGCGCCCGTGACGTCACCTGACTCGTCCCTGAGATTTTTTTCTATTTAATGCAGATAGCGCACACCACAATAAACTAAACGAAAAAGAAAGAAAACAAAAACAAAAACACTGAGATTTAAATAAAACTGAAAGCTTTAAACGGATTTACAGTCTTTCTTATTTTAAAGAGATCAGCTCAGAACGAGGAAGAGAACACACAGTAGAAGGACAGGTCTTCCCTGAGAACGTGCAGAGAACCAGAGAATTCTCACTCTGTAATGTCTTCCGGGTTTCTCTAACACTAGGGGGCGCTCCTGAGTCCAAAATGAATGGGTTGATATGGAGCATTTGAGCAAAATCATAGTTTATAAATGCTGAAACATTTTTAATGTAAAGGAATTCATTCATTTCCTGCAAGCAGCATAAAACACTTTAACACTGCTGTTATGTTTTAAGAGCTTTTAAACTCGAATTATAGAGTTTAAAACGGAGCCTCATGTATGTTCATGACGTCAGTGAGCCGAACAGCCAATGAGCTGCTCCGCTCACCAACCAATCAGCACTCAGTAGCAGTAACGCTAACCAATCAGCGCTCAGTAGCAGTAATGCTAACCAATCAGCCCTCAGTAGCAGTAATGCTAACCAATCAGCGCTCAGTAGCAGTAGCGCTAACCAATCAGCCCTCAGTAGCAGTAACGCTAACCAATCAGCACTCAGTAGCAGTAATGCTAACCAATCAGCTCTCAGTACAGTAATGCTAACCAATCAGCTCTCAGTACAGTAATGCTAACCAATCAGCTCTCAGTAGCTGTAATGCTAACCAATCAGCGCTCAGTAGCAGTAATGCTAACCAATCAGCTCTCAGTACAGTAACGCTAACCAATCAGTGCTCAGTAGCAGTAATGTTAACCAATCAGCGCTCAGTAGCAGTAATGCTAACCAATCAGCGCTCAGTAGCTGTAATGCTAACCAATCAGCTCTCAGTACAGTAACACTAACCAATCAGCGCTCAGTAGCAGTAACGCTAACCAATCAGCTCTCAGTAGCAGTAATGCTAACCAATCAGCTCTCAGTAGCAGTAATGCTAACCAATCAGCACTTAGTAGCAGTAATGCTAACCAATCAGCGCTCAGTAGCAGTAATGCTCACAAATCAGCTCTCAGTACAGTAATGCTAACCAATCAGCGCTCAGTAGCAGTAATGCTAACCAATCAGCGCTCAGTAGCAGTAATGCTACCCAATCAACGCTCAGTAGCAGTAATGCTAACCAATCAGCTCTCAGTAGCTGTACTGCTCACCAATCAGCTCTCAGTACAGTAATGCTAACCAATCAGCTCTCAGTAGCTGTACTGCTCACCAATCAGCTCTCAGTAGCAGTAATGCTAACCAATCAGCGCTCAGTAGCAGTAATGCTACCCAATCAACGCTCAGTAGCAGTAATGCTAACCAATCAGCTCTCAGTAGCTGTACTGCTCACCAATCAGCTCTCAGTACAGTAATGCTACCCAATCAACGCTCAGTAGCAGTAATGCTAACCAATCAGCTCTCAGTAGCTGTACTGCTCACCAATCAGCTCTCAGTACAGTAATGCTAACCAATCAGCTCTCAGTAGCTGTACTGCTCACCAATCAGCGCTCAGTAGCAGTAATGCTAACCAATCAGCGTTCAGGGTTGGTCAGGGGGAAAGGACTCTTCTCGAACTCTGTGGTCACTGGCACAGTGACCGTTGAAGGTGGGGTTCTGTGGTGTACCGCCACTGGCTCTCTGGCAAAGCTAGAGCGAAGAGGCTCTCGGGAAGTTCCGCGTTCGCGCTCAGAGACGTTCCTTGTACAGAAGTTGTTTGCTTAAAAATGTGCATGTGTTGGTTGTGTCACCATGCTGGGCTGTGTGGTGGTCAGTGTGGGGTCAGTGTCTGCCGTGAGGGGGAAGTGTGTGGCTGGAGGTGACCTGCCTGCTGTCTCAGATGTTTCAGCAGCGCAGAGCGGCGGTTCTCCTTCACTGTGTATGTATATATATATTTATATATATGTATAAATATGTATAAATATAAACGAGTAGTAAGAACATGTAAACAGTTACACAATATAAAAATTTAAAATACATACAAGATGGTTCTTTAAGGGTTCTTTAGTAAAGACAATGGTTCTATATAGAGTCATAAGCACTCAAAGAACCATTTGTACAATTAAACGGTGAAAATGGTGAAATGGTTCTTCAGATTGATGGAGAATTTGCTGTAGCTGGTTCTATATAGAACCTTGTTTGAAAGGGTTTGTATAGCACCAAAAGGGGTTCTTCTATTGTTACAGGCTTGACATTGTAACAATGGCAGAACCCTTTTTGGTGCTATACAAACCCTTCCAAACTACGTTCTATATAGAACTATCTACACCAATCTAAAGAACCCTTTAACAATGCAAAGAACCCTTTAATCATACAAAAGGTTATCTGAGTGTTCATGGTTCTATATAGAACCTTTTTTTTTAACTAAAGAACCCATAAAGAACCATCTTTTTTAAAAATGTAAGTTTATAGAGATAGTATAGAGTATAATTCAAGAGAACTGCATATACAATATAATATAATATAATATCATATTTTTTACCTTTCTCCTTAATGCTGCTCATAACAACATGGACCATAAAGTGCTAAAGGGAAGCAGTTTATTTTAGATTTAATAAAAATCATGAAAACTGGTTTATTCTTTTATTCTGGCAGTCGTCTCACACACAGTCCATCAAAACGACATGACTTTGCTTTTCTTTAATTTTATTTTTTTGGCATGAAAATCATTCCATTCAGATCATTTAAAGGGTTTAATTATTTAATTTGTATAACAATTCAGTTTCCAGGGGTTTTTAATGTCAAATTAAATCAGAAACTCACTGCCAGTTCAGCCTTTATATCATCAAACCTGAGACTGAAAGACTTTTAATTTGTAAGGAGACAAATTTACACTTTACCAAAACACTGCGCAACACTGCACTCACTGTAAAACACACCAGTTACTGAGTGTGCGCATTATCAGTGCTGTTCATCATCACTGTCAGAACAGAACCTCACAAAATCACCAAAATATTACATTTACAGGAAAAATAAAGGTTCTATTGAGCTCTAATGTACCGACTGAGCTGCTGAAAAACATTGTAGAACCCATTAAAGGTTCCTGCTGATGTCCAATAGTCAGTAATGGTGTTCTGGGTTCTCCAGACTCCTAATGGGATCTAAAGGTGTTCTACTTAAAACTAGTGGTCTCTTCTATTAATGGGTCACCATTAAGCTAATTCCCATTAGAAAGCAGCACCTCCAGGTTTTAATCCTATGGTTCTAAAGGTGATTTTCAGCAGTGTGGCCACCAGGGGGCTCCAGATCTGTTATACTCCATTAGTCAGTTAATCATTGACCCACTCAGTGTTCAGTTCAGCAGCTCTTACAGTCAAAGAACGTCAGGAATGGAGATGCAGGTTCTCTTCTAACAGTGATGAGGTTCTCCGTCCTGGTCTTCTGTCTGGAAGGTTCAGTTTTCCTCCTGGTGTGAAACGAGTGGCCTGGAGTTCATCTCGCTCATCTCGCTCATCTCCGTCTCCGTCAGCGCGTTCCTGAAGGACAAACTCACAGCGTCACCACAGTCTGAATAAACCAGAGCACTGAACAGCCAAACGGCCTGTTAAAGCGATAGTTCAGCTCCAGCTCACCCCGAATCGTGTCTGGAGTCTGAAGGACTTTAGTGTTTTTATTGGCTGTGACTTTGCATAAGCGTTTAGCTGTGTGGAGCGAGTGTATTTATAAAAAATACTTTAGATAATTAAACATATATAAGTATTATACAATAATTAGTGAATAATCATAATAATAAACCATTTAATAACATAATACAGTGCAGTGACAGAGCAGATGTGTGTTTTTGTTGTAGCTCTGCTTTAACAATCACTGTTCTTTCGCATCTCATTAAAATGGTGGTCTGTGATTGGTCGGTTTGAACATCAATCAAAGGGTCCCTTCTTTGTTTGGGTTCTCGGCCACACTGAGCGATGAGACCCATGGTGATTTAGGCAAGCAGTTAGCACTATGCTAATTAGCGGGGTATAAGCTTCCATTACTTGTTAGCTACATTAGCCTCGTAGCTCCAGAGCTAAAACTACAGACACCAAACATTCATTAAGCCCCATTCAGGTGTGATTAGTTGTCGATGAGGTGGTGATGCCAGTTTAACTCAGGACGTCTGTGATGTTTATAAGCGATTCACACTGGATAATAAATCTCAGTCTAAATGACGGAGCAGCTACTCGATTTACGCACCGCCTTCCAGAAAAGAGCAGGAAAGATGTTAAAACGTTCAGTTTAGACATTTTTCCTTTAGCCGTTTACCTTTCTGCCAGTGCAGTGCATCATTAGCGTCACTGTTAGCCTGAATTCACACTTCACTGCACAACATCTAACTTTTTTCTGTACTCTTTCATGTCCTGAGCTGTAAACGTGAGACGGGACAGTAGCGTGACACATCGGCCTGATTTTGGCCACAAAGAACACTGGGCCTCATTCACCGACCATTCTTACGAAGAAATTTCTACTTAAACCCACTTACGCAGCTCTGACGAAGACTCATCATTCACCAATGTTCTCTATGTGGGGTTTGTTCTTAGGTAAGAACAGAATCTACACACACTCAAGAGCACAAAGGTAGAACAGTTCTGCGCTTTAAGAACACGTCATGAATCTGACAGAGACTTTTTCTTAGAACCTTTATCAAGAACACACTTAAGAACAAACTTGGAGAATGAGGACCAACGAGGCTGAAGTTGCTTCTTATTTACCAGCGTCTTGTTCTAATCTTCCATTCCACCTTAAGTGGTGCAGCAGTTACATTATGGTGTGTAATATCGACTATGGCATCATTTAAGGTGGAACGGGAAAATTTTTCTGAACTATCGCTTTAATGGTGTGTGTTGTTTAAAGATATCCGCTGTGAATGACCCCACCGGTCCTGCTCCACGTCCTGGATGGTCTCGGGCAGTCGAACTCGGAGCGTTTCGGGCAGCAGGAAGACCACACAGCCGCTAACAACGGCCACGAGGGAGAACACCAGTGGGGGGGCGGAGCTCCACACGTCTTTCAGCATGATGAGCAGGGGGGCCATGGACCCTCCCAAACGGCCCAGGAAGGAGGTGTAGCCCAAACCACACTGCCTGGAACGTCCACACACACATTCCCATCAGCGCAAGAACCACAGCACAGTCGCTTCAAGGCGATTCTGATGTATTTTAAATAACATCAACTCAAATATCCACCTTTTCCTCACTTCAGATCTATCGTTAGCATCACTGTATCACTCTAATTAGATGTGTGCCTCATTAAAAGTTCATTAGTGGAGTGTTCTTATTAACGTATTTATGCTAATCAGCTATGCTGTTAGTAGTTGGAGTCCCCCCCAAATGCTAGCAAGGTCTCTCTCTGTCACATGATGCTACCGAGCTGGGAGGATGATTGCTGGCAACAACCCCCCCCCACCCCCGAGGCATGCAAAGCTCCAAACTGCCACTAATACAGCGTCATCAGAGCTGAACACGCTTGGAGGAGAGCACTAACACTAATTCTGTTATATCAGCTAACGCTGGCTAACGAAAGGAGCTCCAGTGTACGGAGGGCTGTGGCGTCGCCGGCGAAGGAGCTTGTGTGAGTTCATACCGAACGACTGTGGGAAACAGCTCTGCGGTGTAGAGGAAGGCGATGGTGAACGCTGCTTCAGAGAATCCTTTACCACACACGGCTACACCTGTACGCACACCTGCATAGTCTACAGACAGAGAGAGAGAGACAGGGAGACAGAGAGAGATAGAGAGAGACAGAGAGAGAGAGAGAGAGAGGGAGAGAAACAGACAGAAAAAGAGACAGAGAGAGAGAGACAGGGAGAGAGAGACAGAGAGAGAGAGAAACAGACAGAAAAAGAGACAGAGAGAGAGAGAGAGAGAGAGAGGGAGAGAGACAGAGAGAGACAGAGAGAGAAACAGACAGAAAAAGAGACAGAGAGAGAGAGGTAGACAGAGAGAGAGGGAGACAGAGAGAGAGGGAGACAGTAAATAACCCTGTAAATAACATATTTTCTAGCGTTCTATTATAATCTATTATATCATTTTTCTTATTTCTATGTGTTTCTTATTAACTGCTTTGGCAACAGTGTATTTCATTACTGTTGAACTTGAACTTGAATGTTGGGAACCGACTGACAGTGTAGCTGAAATCACCCCCTTGTCGATCCCTATGGAACATTCCGGCTCCGCCCCCTCGTTATCCCCATCACCTGTTGCTTGTTGTGGTAGTCTGGTTCTATTTTTTCTTCTCGGTGGTTTTCGTGTAGCTCTGCTTCTTTGTTGACGACCATGTCAACATTATAAGTAATGCTTTTTTTGAACAGAAAGTCAGCGTAGTGAGCACCATTAAGCTAATATTTTCCAAAATGTTAATAAGGTTAAATTGGAAAGATCATGATTTAGGTTATTTATTACCACTTGTGGTCAGCGTCAGTCATTTCGGTTTTAATTACATAGTTTAAATATATGACCTTTTGCTGCTGGTATTTTTTGTCCGGGGGGGACGTTCGAAAAGCGGAACGAATATTTCGCACCTTGAGCTGCAGATGCGAATCACGCCGGATACATTTGCATAAAGTTCAGCTCCGATCAACTTTTCTCTGCGACTCGACGCCAGACCCATCATGCACCGCACGGCCGCACCTGACCAAACCTTCGCTTCCCATTGAAACCGAATGGGATACGTCGCGGTGCGCTGACGTGCTGGAGTACTGTAAATGCAGCGTCAGTGTTGCCAGATTGGACAGGATCCCTCACTTTGTAGTGATTTTATTTTTCCATAAAGTTTCATTCATGCAGTAGAACTAAAAAGTAACTAACACAAAAATCCAGTTTTCTCTTTTTCACTAAATCATTAAGTGAAAAACATGCGAGCTTTTCTTCAAATATTCACGACGATATTCAAACTGAGAATGAGCTCATTACAAGGTCCAGTGCTGGTTTCTAAGGGTAGAGGGACAGAACCTGTAGGAATGGCGGTGTTGACCCCGATCAGCACTCCAGACAGGATCAGTGACCATGCCTGACCGTTTCTCCGGCCGATGTGATCCAGCAGCAAGTAGGTGCCCACTTTCGCGGGGATTTCGATGGCTCCATAGATGAACTGAGTGAGGAAGACGTTGAGTCCGAAGCCGGTGATGTTGAAGCTGATCCCGTAATACGTGGACGCAACTGCAAACCTGACCAATCAGGAAACAGATATAGTTGTATTACATATACTGACACAACCACATCACCACCAACATCAGCATCATAGAGCACTTTTTAAACGAAACAGCAGAAGCCATATCGCCCCCTACGCTTCCTGTAGAGTATTACAGTCTGTCAGAGTGACTGTGTGGATCATATGAACATTATAGAGCTTTTTAAATGAAACAGTAGAAGCCATATCGCCCCCTACACTTCCTGTAGTGTATTACAGTCTGTCAGAGTGACTGTGTGGATCATTATAGACGCTTTTTTAATGAAACAGTAGAAGCCATAACTACATACACGTTTAGATATCAGTCAGTTCAATGTGCAGTTCACCTCTCTGCCTCTAGAGGTCATTGCTGCCTGCTTTCTACTTAGACTGTGTTTACATGTTCCAGATTAATCTTATTTATTCAGCTGCTCTATGGGTAAATAATACAGAAGTGTACAATAAAGTTCACAAAACATTTAAAGTAATAATTAGGCAACTTGACAATAATCTATACATTACCATAACAACACTATAACAACACTACAACGTACCAGACGATTCCTAAGCAGATGGTGATCTTCCTCAGTTTGGGTGTCCTCACCAGGTCCAGGTATGAGTGCTCTTTACTGGGCTGCTCATTCATTGTGACTTTGTGCAAAGCCTGTTAGTAAATAAAAACCATCTTTATACAGAGATTCTGATAAATGGTTAACGTTTATCACCACTTTCTCTCATTAAAACAGAACAAATTAAAGACAGTGATCATCTTCATCAGCATGTCCTGCATCAGCTGTGTAACGTAATGAGTGTGTGCTATGTTAGTGTTTTAGCATGTGTTGTGTTAGCATATGCTGTTAGCATGTGTTGTGTTGGCATGTATGTTGAGCCTGATACCTCTATGTCCAGTTTGAGGGTCCTGCGGTTGATCCTGGCGCACCGCTGCAGAACCTGCTGAGCCTCCTCCACTCTCCCGTTCACCAGCAGCCACCGGGCCGACTCAGGAACCCACCTGGACAGGTGCTCACATGGAATCATGTTTCATTTCAAACAGACTTTGTGCTGTATGTGGCGACAGTGCTCTGTGCTGTATAGTAACTCACCACCAGGTGGCGACAGTGCTCTGTGCTGTATAATAACTCACCACCAGATGGCGACAGTGCTCTGTGCTGTATAATAACTCACCACCAGGTGGCGACAGTGCTCTGTGCTGTATAGTAAGTCACCACCAGGTGGCGACAGTGCTCTGTGCTGTATAATAACTCACCACCAGGTGGCGACAATGCTCTGTGCCGCTTAATAATTCACCACAAGGTGGCAACAGCACTCTGTGCTGTATAATAATTCACCACCGGATGGCGACAGTGCTCTGTGCTGTATAATAACTCACCACCAGGTGGCGACAGTGCTCTGTGCTGTATAGTAAGTCACCACCAGGTGGCGAGAGTGCTCTGTGCTGTATAATAACTCACCACCAGGTGGCGACAGTGCTCTGTGCTGTATAATAACTCACCACCAGGTGGCGATAGCAGCGAGGCAGGGTGCGGTCACCGCCAGCATGAGGTGCCTCCAGTCTCTTAGGAGAAAAGCGAGCAGAGCGAGCAGCATGTTCCCCAAACTCCAACCCAAACTCAGGATCGTCCCACTGAACGTACGGTGATTTACTCCAGTCCACTCTACAGCTGCACACACACACACACACACACACAGACACACACACAGACACACACACAGACACACACACAGACACACAGACACACACAGACACACACACACACACAGACACACACACACACACACAGACACACACACAGACACACACACAGACACACAGACACACACAGACACACACAGACACACACACACACACACAGACACACACACAGACACACACACAGACACACACACAGACACACAGACACACACAGACACACACACACACACACACACACACAGACACACACACAGACACACACACAGACACACAGACACACACAGACACACACACACACACAGACACACACACACACACACAGACACACACACAGACACACACACAGACACACACACAGACACACAGACACACACAGACACACACACACACACAGACACACACACACACACACACACACACACACACACACACACAGACACACACACACAGACACAGACACACACACACACACACACACACAGACACACACACACAGACACACACACAGACACACAGACACACACACACACACACACACAGACACACACAGACACACACAGACACACACACAGACACACACACACACACAGACACACACACAGACACACACAGACACACACACAGACACACACACACACATATTAACGAGCTCTTCCATGGACACTAATTTATTAAAATGGTCAGAGCACCTCCTGTTATTTGTGGTTGAATCGGAGGTTAATAGTGAACTGAACAGTGAACTTTAGAAATCTTTGACACTGTTAAATGCAAATATGTGTTATAGATGTGTTATAGAGTCGGGCATCATGGTGGTGCAGTGGGTAGCGCTGTCGCTTCACAGCGAGAGGGGCCGGGTTTGTGGACCACTCTGTGTGGAGTTTGCATGTTCTCCCCGTGTCTGTGTGGGTTTCCTCCCGCAGTCCAAAGACATGCAGTCAGGCTAACTGGCCATGCTAAGTTGCCCCTCGGTGTGAGTGTGCATGAATGCATATGTCTGTCTGCCCTGTGATGGACTGGCGACCTGTCTAGGGTGTTTCCTGCCTTCCACCCGATAACTGCTGGGATAGGCTCCAGCTCCCCCTGTGACCCAGAAGGATAAATGGCTTAGAAGGTGTGTGTGTGTGTGTGTGTGTGATAGAGTCTTTTTGTTTCGGAGTGTGGATGTTAAGGAGTGGGTGTTACAGAGTGCACATTTTGGAGTGTGGATGTTAAGCAGTGGGTGTTACGGAGTGCACATTTTGGAGTGTGGATGTTAAGGAGTGGGTGTTACGGAGTGCACATTTTGGAGTGTGGATGTTAAGGAGTGGGTGTTACGGAGTGCACATTTTGGAGTGTGGATGTTAAGGAGTGGGTGTTACGGAGTGCACATTTTGGAGTGTGGATGTTAAGGAGTGGGTGTTACAGAGTGCACATTTTGGAGTGTGGATGTTAAGGAGTGGGTGTTACAGAGTGCACATTTTGGAGTGTGGATGTTAAGGAGTGGGTGTTACGGAGTGCACATTTTGGAGTGTGGATGTTAAGGAGTGGGTGTTCCTAATGTTACTGAGTGCACGTTACGAAGGGTGGGTGTTACGTAGAGTGGGTGTTACAGAGTGTAGGTGTTACAGAAAGGGTGTTATGGAGTGTTCATATTACTGAAAGCACATTATGGACTGTGGGTGTTACGGAGGGTTTGTGTTACTGAGTGTACGTTAGGGAGTATAGGTACTACGCAGTGTGGCTGTTATGGAGTTTGGGTGTTACAGAGTGCATGTAATCAAATGTAGGTGTTACGGAGTGTTTGTATTACTGAGTGCACATTATAGATTGTGGGTGTTACGGAGTGTTTGTGGGTGCATGTTTTACAGTGTGGGTGTTACAGAGTGTTTGTTTTGCTGAGTGCATATTATGGAGTGTAAGTGTTATGTAGTGAGGGTGTTATGGAGTGCATGTTACTGAGTGCACATTATGGATTGTGGGTGTTACGGAGTGTTTGTGTTACTGGGTGCATGTTTCGAGATGGGTGTGTTACAGAGTGCTCATGTTACTGAGTGCACGTTACGGACTGTAGGCGTTACTGTGTGTAGCATGCTACTGAGTGTGTGTTACTGAATGTGTGCATTACTGACTGGTGTGTGTAATGTGGTGTATGCATTACAGTGTATGTGTTACAGAATGTATGTGTTACAGAGTGTAAGCGTTACAGAGTTTGTGCGCTATGGAGTGTATGCATTACGGAGTTTATGTGTTACGGAATGTATGCGTTACAGAGTTTATGCGCTATGGAGTGTACACGTTACTGAGTGTATGCGTTACGGAGTGTATGCGTTACGGAGTGTATGCGTTACTGAGTGTATGTGTTACTGAGTGTATGCGTTGCGGAGCATATGTGTTACTGAGTGTATGCGTTATGGAGTGTATGCGTTACGGAGTGTATGCGTTACAGAGTGTATGCGCTATGGAGTGTACACGTTACTGAGTGTATGCGTTACGGAGTGTATGCGTTACGGAGTGTATGCGTTACTGAGTGTATGTGTTACAGAATGTATGTGTTACAGAGTGTAAGCGTTAGTGAGTGTATGCATTACAGAGTGTATGCGTTACGGAGTGTATGCGTTACTGAGTCTATGCATTACGGAGTGTATGCGTGACGGAGTGTATGCGTGACAGAGTGTATGCGTTACAAAGTGTATGCGTTACAGAGTTTATGTGCTATGGAGTGTATGCGTTACTGAATGTATGCGTTAGGGAGTGTATGCATTACTGAGTCTATGCATTACTGAGTGTATGTGTGACAGAGTGTATGCGTTACAGAGTGTATGCGTTATGGAGTGTATGCGTTACGGAGTGTATGCGTTACAGAGTGTGTTACTTAGGGCGAGTGTGGTGATGCTCATTCCCGTCAGAGCTACTCCACTCAGTGTTCTGCTGACAGCAAACATCAGGAAGGAGGTGGAGAACGCAGCAGCCACTCCAAAAACACAGCTGGACACGAACGACACCAACAACATTGGCTTACGACCAAACCTACACACACACACACACACACACACACACACACACACACACACACACACACAGCGGAGATTGAAGTCCTGCTGTGAACAGACCTGTTTAAAGGAATCTATGCACTAATTTAAAAGGTGCAGTGTTACATTCCAGCGCCTGTTATCTTCGTTATCCCTGCAGCTCCGGAGCCAAAACTAGAGGAGCTCAGGCAGTGAAGCCGTCTGGTCTGATAGACTTCATGTGGAGCGAGAGAGGAATTTGACTTCTGCTATAGAGGCTGATTTGCAGCATTAGTGATCTTCACACAGTCAAATCCTTATTTGTCACAGTGGGGGGGGTGTAATCTCTCCACGCGCCTCATCACACCCCCTCACCCCCCCACTACCCCCCCACTGCCTGCCCCCCCCATTAACCCCCCACTATCCTCCCTACCACCCGAAAGCATCACATGCTGTTCTGCTCACGCCGGAGATCACATGCAGGAATGACAGTGCAACTTCAGGAGCTTCGAACCTCCATAACCCAGCAGAGCCCTGCAGAACCTTCTACTGCAGAACCTTCTACTGCAGAACCTTCTACTGCACTTACGCTCACCTACAGCCTTATTTCACTATCATACACTACAGTGAAGAAAAAGACACACAGACTGACAGACAGACAGATAGAAAGACAGATAGACAGACAGACAGGCAGACAGACAGATAGATAGACAGACAGACAGACAGACAGATAGACAGACAGGCAGGCAGATATATATATATTGTTTATAATAAGACAGTCAGCTGTGTTGTTCAGTGATGTGGGCAGAGTGGTCTGGAGGAAGGGAACTGAGAGTGACCTGCAGGACCCTCAGTGTATGAGAGCAAACACACCTGTCAGCCAGGTAACCGAACAGCACCGCCCCCATCATCACTCCCAGAAAGAAGAAGGTCGCCAGAGCCTGGTTCAGGTTTTTACTGTCACACACCAAATCCCACTGAGGAAGAGAGACCAATTATTAATCACCGGCGTTTAAAGAGGAAGAGAAAACGTTTACTTAACGTAAAGAGCTCTATAACGTTCAGAACACTGACAGACTGTAATACACTACAGGAAGTGTAGGGGGCGATATGGCTTCTACTGTTTCATTTAAAAAGCTCTATAATGTTCATATGATCCACACAGTCACTCTGACAGACTGTAATACACTACAGGAAGTGTAGGGGGCGATATGGCTTCTACTGTTTCATTTAAAAAGCTCTATAATGTTCATATGATCCACTCAGTCACTCTGACAGACTGTAATACACTACAGGAAGTGTAGGGGGCGATATGGCTTCTACTGTTTCATTTAAAAAGCTCTATAATGTTCATATGATCCACACAGTCACTCTGACAGACTGTAATACACTACAGGAAGCGTAGGGGGCGATATGGCTTCTACTGTTTCATTTAAAAAGCCTCTATAATGTTCATATGATCCACTCAGTCACTCTGACAGACTGCAATACACTACAGGAAGTGTAGGGGGCGATACGACTCAGTTAGATTAGTTGATTCAGATGGACAACTTGTTAAACTTGTTTTTGTTATTGTCGCTGGGTTGCAGCAGTGAGAAGAGTACGCCCTCTAAACCCCGCCCCCAAATCCCTCATGCTCTTTTAGCATCCAGAGATCAATCAATAACACAAGCAGTACAAGCTAGTTAGTGAAATGCTACCATTAGCTAATAATCGTTAGCTGTTTTTCTTTGTGACGGGTAACGTTTTTGTGCTCACATATACATGTTTAAAGTTATTGGGGGGTTTAAGCCGTGCTAACCTACACTACACCCAACGAGACGAGAGGCGTGTTGTTGACGAGCACACTAGCGCCCCCTACTGAGCGCCACCTTCAGGAGGTGTTGGATTGGTTTAGAAACTTCACTCTCAGTTTATTCCCACTCTAATAAGTCTACGCTCCCCCACATTTAGCCCCAAATTTCTCATGGTTCTCCCAGACGTTCTCAGCCTAATAGATTAATAGACTAATAGATTAATTGATTATGGAGAGGATCGTTAGTTTTGGCCCTCATTAGTTGTTTAGATGTTAGGGTATCTGACCTCGGTGGCGGTCGTGGAGTTGAAGAGCGTCCTGTCGTATGTCCAGCCGTGCTGACAGGGCACTGACTCGTTAGATCCGGTTCCACTGGAGTTGAAGTTCTCCGGCTCAGGGAACTGCCTGCAGGAGCTGGGGGAGCCGTCGGGGTCTCGGGGGAGGAGCCGGGGGCCGGGGTCAGCGTACCTGTGGTCCAGGTGAGCGAGGGCGCAGCGGTGCTGCGGCACGGCGGAGATGAAGTTGTGCAGCAGGAAGTGAAGCGGCAGGATGACGCGCGGGATACTCAGGATGTGCAGAACCAGAAACTGGAACCGGTGGAACCCACCAACCTCCTCTAGGATCTCCTCGAAATGCATCGCAGAACACTCACACTAACCGACTCTCTCTCTCTCTCTCTCTCTCTGTCACTCACTTTGTTTCTCTTATCTTTCGCTCCGTCTTCCTTTATTCCTCACGTTTTTCTCTTTTTCTGCTTCCTTTCTATTTTACTCCTGTTTCTCCTTCCTCCTTCCTCTGTCTCTCGCTCTCTTCTTCCCTCTTTCTCTCCACTTCTCTCCTTTCTTTCTCTTTTATTCCCTCCTATCTCTCTGTCTGTCTTTCTCTCTTCTTCCCTCCTCTTTCTGTCTCTCTCTGTCTTTCTCTCTTCTTCCCTCCTCTTTCTCTCTCTCTTCTTCC